TTTTTTTTTTTTTTTGAGATGGAGTTTCAATCGTGTTGCCCAGGCTGGAATGCAATGGCATGATCTTGGCTCGCTGGAACCTCTGCCTCCTGGGTTCAAGCGATTCTCCCGCCTCAGCCTCCTGAGTAGCTGGGATTACAGTCATGCACCACCACACCCGGCTAATTTTTGTATTTTTAGTAGAGACAGGGTTTCTCCATGTTGGTCAGGCTGGCCTCAAAACTCCTGACCTCAGGTCATCTGCCTATTTCGGCCTCCCAAAATGCTGGGATTATAAGTATAAGCCACTGCACTCGGCCCAGGGTGCCAAGTACTTAATAGAGGTACAGCACAGTTGGGGAAAGGGAAATGAACCCAAACCAAGGGCCCCAGTGTCATGGCCATTGGGTAGAAAACACAACATGGGGCTGGGTGCTGCAGTGGCTTATGCCACCTGGGAGGCAGAAGTTGCGGTGAGCTCAGATTGTGCCACTGCACTCCAGCCTGGGTGCGGTGAACTGAGATCATGCCACTACACTCCAGCCTGGGTGACAGAGCAAGATTCTGTCTCAAAAAAAAAAAAAAAAAAAATACTAAACACAACATGTGCAAAGACTTGGAGATAGACCTTCTAGGCAGTGAAGTTGACTTCAAGTAGGATAAGGATGGACTCATACGAGTCCATGGAAGCCCTAGGCTGGTGCAGTCAGTGATGGCTCGCAGCTGGCATGTGGGAAGGAGGGGCAGAGGGGAAGCAACCCAGCATTTTGGGCATTTGCACTAGTCCCAAAGTAGGACCAGGATGTAGTGTGTGTTGGCTGCATGCAGTTAAGTAGCTGTGCCACAATACCTTGGGGCCTTACTGTTTGCAGACAGCATCTCTGGGAGGTTCAAGGTGGGAGGGTTGAAGTTGTATTGGTGGTACCCAACTTTTATCCACATATCTTCAGCCCCCAGAGTGTGAAAGGCCGGAATGACACCTTTTACCTGACACCTGAGCCAGTGGTGGCCCCCAACAGCCCAATCTGGTACTCAGTCCAGCCTATCAGCAGAGAGCAGATGGGACAAATGCTGACCCGGATCCTGGTGATAAGAGAAATTCAGGAGGCCATCGCAGTGGCCAATGCAAGCACTATGCACTGAGATGCCTTGGCCATGGCGGAAGAGAAACCAGCCAGGAAAAACCAGACAGACTTTCACACTAAAGAAGAGGCCTCCGTTTTTTCTTTTTTCTTTTTTTATTGGTGTAGTTATGAAGCCTTTCAGGCTGCTTCTGTTTAAAATGTAAAAGAAAACTTTGCCCCCTTTGCATCTTCATAAACATGCTGCGGCAGACTCCTCAGCCAATGGGGGCTTTCGGTTTCCTTGAGAATCATATGTCCTAGAAAGTTGCTGGCTGACTCTTTTTTGGCCTGGGGCCTGGGGAAAGGGCTTGGACTGTTAAAAGAAATGTGGCCCCTTTCCATCTTCAAGAGAGATGGAATTAATGATGGATGGACCCTGCAGGAAATCTCCCCAGCCCGCTTCCGCTGGGCTGACAGACTTCGCTGACCACAGGGAAACGATGTTCTTTTCTTTCTTCATGCTCAGACATAAACTTAGCATCTTAATGGAAGAAAAATGAGGGGAATTTCAATTATGATTTACTAAAGACAATTTCTATTACACCCTCCTTTATGACAAGTGACATTTTAGATGTTAAAGTAAAAACTTTACCATGCCTTTTTTTTTTTTTTGGGCCTATCATTGAGGCCTTAAAACCTGAGGCTCCTGTGCCTGATGGAATTCTTGTAACATACACTTGTGTATCATATAAAGATACCACTCTGTTTCTCTTATGTATTCTTACTCTAGTTGTTTATTAAGAATGACAAGCACGTCTTTTCAACATGCTAGTGAACAACGCCTCTTTATTTTGGGGAGGAGCCCGGCGGGACAGTGGAAGCAAAGGCTTGTCTGTTAATTGAACGGGCCCGGGTCCTGCAGGGAGTGGGGTGGGATGTGAAACCGCAGCTCCTCAGTTAGTAGGCCATTTCCTGCTGTACGCATGCGCCGGTTTTCCAGCACCAGTCTCGTCGCCGATGCCGCGAGGCTGTTAGGCTCCGCCTGCGCGCGCTACGCCCTGACGTCAGCGTCGCGCGCAGCGCAGTGACGAAATCGGCTGGTTTATATTGGCGCGGCCCGGACGGCAGAGGTCTCTGCGGCGCGGTCCTCGGAGACACGCGGCGGTGTCCTGTTTTGGCCATGGCCGACTACTTGATTAGCGGTGGCACGTCCTACGTGCCAGACGACGGACTCACAGCACAGCAGCTCTTCAACTGCGGAGACGGCCTCACTTACAAGTGCGGGCCTTATGGGGCCCAGCTGGGCGAGGAGAGGGGCGGCACACTGGGCGAAAAGGCCAGATGGGGGCTTCCGTGAAGCCTTCTTGGGAGCGGGCGTGGGGGATAGGTTCCGGCAATTGGCCACCCACCTTAGGGTCTCACTTTGAGACATCTAGAGCGGGGCTTGGGGTACAGAGAAGCATCTCAATAGTGCTTGGAATTTCAGGCTGGAGACTCCATGCTCCAGAAACGTAATTGTCAGGGTGCCAGGAGCACTGATGACAGCTCGGTGGCAGAAAAGGTCCCCTGTCCCCATCTCCACCTTGTGCTGTGCCGTGCCTGTGACACACAGACTCTGTCAGTGCGACACTGCCCACATGCCTTACGGGTTGATCTATGGGGATGGAGTATAGATTCTCATCCAGCCATAAGCCTGAGAGCTTTACTCTCAATTCACTCCCTTCCCTCGCAGTGACTTTCTCATTCTCCCTGGGTACATCGACTTCACTGCAGACCAGGTGGTGAGTATAATCAGGAATTGGGTTCTGAACATCAAGGCGAGGTAAGGTGCTACTGTCACCTGGTCTTGGCTACCTCACCAGATTGGGTTTGGGGGTGAATTTTGTGGGATCATGTTACTGGTTAGCATGTAGGTCATAGAAGTACCTGTTTGTGGGGGACCCAGTAACACCTTGAGCTGTAAGCGATGCTTTCCCACACTGGTTGACCTTTATCTCCTCAGGACCTGACTTCTGCTCTGACCAAGAAAATCACTCTTAAGACCCCACTGATTTCCTCTCCCATGGACACAGTCACAGAGGCTGGGATGGCCATAGCAATGGCGGTGAGCCCCATGGGGTGTGGGGGTAGGAGCAAGGATGCCATCACCTTTCCCCAAAGGCATTCAGTCCTGCCTCTGGTCACTTAGTAATCCCTTTTTATCCTGTAGCTTACAGGCGGTATTGGCTTCATCCATCACAACTGTACACCTGAATTCCAAGCCAATGAAGTTCGAAAAGTGAAGGTCAGAAGGGCAAGGATCATTAGCAAGCACTCCTGGGAATTGCACTGAGGTGGGGTGGGAGTAGGGATTTGTTCTATTAATTTAGTGTCCTTTCTTCCCACCATGGGATTCAATTACTGAGAAGAGCCTGAGATTCTGTTTCTTAAAGCAGCAGCAATAGACCAGGTAGACAGTGCCTCTAGCCCACCCATGTCTCCTCATAGATGTGTTGGTGTGATTTGGTCCTGTGGCACTGCCACAGGGATCATTAAGCAGAGACCCCATGCTTCAGATTAACAGCCTGATGAAAGTAGTTCAAAGATGCAATGCTCTTTCTCACCATCCCCTTCCAGAAATACGAGCAGGGATTCATCACAGACCCTGTAGTGCTCAGCCCCAAGGATCGCGTGCGGGATGTTTTTGAGGCGAAGGCCCGGCATGGTTTCTGCGGTATCCCAATCACAGACACAGGCCGGATGGGGAGCCGCTTGGTGGGCATCATCTCCTCCAGGGACATTGATTTTCTCAAAGAGGAGGAACATGACTGTTTCTTGGAAGAGGTGGGTGCCACTGGCAGAGTACAGCCAAGTTCTGGAAGCCCAGGATGAAGACAAGAGGCTTCTGTTGCCTGTATGACATCTCTGATAGCCTTTCCTCTCTGGGAAAGATGAGTGTCAAACCATATTTCTGACTCCTTCATTGGGAATGCTTTCAAACTGCCCAAATGCTTGCTAGTATTCATGTGTTCTTTGAAACCCCTAAGTCAGGGCTTGAGGTCAGCCCTCATTTTCTTGCCATTGTTCTTGTGTGGTCCTTCTTATTCCATAATGTAAGGGTCTGCTCCCTGTGCTGTGTTGTCCTTTCTACTCACCCCTCACTCAATACTATACTGCTTAGGAACTACTGGGATCCCTTTAAGAAGGGTGGTTTGGGTGCGGGTGAATGAAGGTGGTGGTCCCTAGAACCTCACCCCTGAATTAGGCAGGGCATGTAGAGGTGACTGGCCATAGGCTACGCATGGTGACTCACGCCTGTAATCCTGACACTTTGGGAGGCTGAGGTGAGCAAATCTCGAGGAGTTTGAGACCAGTCTGGCCAACATGGTGAAACTCCATCTGTACTAAAAATACAAAAAATTAGTTGGGCATGGTGGCAGTCCCCTGTAATCCCAGCTACTCGGGATACCAAAAAAAAAGGTGACTGCTCATAGTCTGACTGGCCCTTCCTCATATCTCACTTTCCACGTAGATCATGACAAAGAGGGAAGACTTGGTGGTAGCCCCTGCAGGCATCACACTGAAGGAGGCAAACGAAATTCTGCAGCGCAGCAAGAAAGGTAAGTCCTAGAGTGGGAAGGGGCCTGAAACTAACACTCAGGGTCCTGACTCATCTCCTGCCCTGACCACAGGCAAGCTGCCCATTGTAAATGAAGATGATGAGCTTGTGGCCATCATTGCCCGGACAGACCTGAAGAAGAATCGGGACTACCCACTGGCCTCCAAAGATGCCAAGAAACAGCTGCTGTGTGGAGCAGCCATTGGCACTCATGAAGATGACAAGTATAGGCTGGACTTGCTCGCCCAGGCTGGTGTGGATGTAGTGGTTTTGGTGAGCTGCTACACAGGCAGGTTGGGGCAGTAGGGGGAGCTGTCACATCACAGTCTGAGACTTACTTCCCGTCTCAGGACTCTTCCCAGGGAAACTCCATCTTCCAGATCAATATGATCAAGTACATCAAAGAGAAATACCCCAATCTCCAGGTCATTGGAGGCAACGGTAAGGCAAGATTGTGCCCTGAAGGATGTGTGGTGGGAGTGGGTAAGCTGGGCTCCCACTGTAACCTTCATGTGAGCATTTCCTTCACCTTAGTGGTCACTGCTGCTCAGGCCAAGAACCTCATTGATGCAGGTGTGGATGCCCTGCGGGTGGGCATGGGAAGTGGCTCCATCTGCATTACCCAGGAAGGTAAGAATATGCTTTGACAGGGCCCACAGAGACCCCAGTTTCAGGCCCCACATACCTTGGAGCCAAGCACTCTTACGGGAACAATAGAGTCCTCCAATAGGGGCAACCCTGGGGCCAAATTGGCCTCTTGGATGGGTGACATGGCTGGAAGCAAGACAAGGTCTTGTCATCCCTCACCTGCCACTCCCCTGCCTAGCCTGGCCTCCTTGCTCCTGCTCTGTGCCTTCTCTAAACTCTGGTCTGTTTGTTTTATTTAGTGGCTCCCAAGATCCCTCCAGACATAAAGTCCCACAGCCCCAAATGCCCTTCTACTGTCACGGGTTGCTATAGTAAGTCTAGCCCGGCCCACTGGCCCGGCCCAGCTGCCCACTGCCCGGCTGCTTGGTTGACTGTAGCTGTAGCTCCCGGGGTTTGTGGTGCTGATGGGTGGGCAGGGCCAACTGATACACAGACCATGGTTTGGGGGCTGCTCATGAACATAGCTCCTCTTCCTCCTGGGTGCTGATAGGGCAGGACCTCCTTCCCTAAGTAGGCCCTTTCCTGCCCACATCTTCTGCAGTTGGCATGGCTCAAGGACCAACTCTGGAGCCTGCTGTTCCACACAACCACTGCCCTTATCTTGCCTGAACTGCCCACCATTCAGGGAGGAAGGGCTGGGCCTGACTTTAGTGCCTCTGGGGACTAACTGCACGGTGACTCCTGCCCCATCTGATACCAGCTGGACGGGGGCTTTCCCGGCTGCCAAGACTGCATGTGCCTGAGGCTGCCCTGGGCACTGCACACATGCACGTGCACATGTGGGGGTGAGTGGAGGTCAGCACAGCTGTTTGTATTATTTAAGGTAGATGGGGCAGCAGCCATTCCCAGACACATCTCTTCCTCAGCCAAGCTGCAGTCCTGATGCAGTTGTAGCCAAGAGCTCCTGGGTCCTAAATGTAGCTACAGAGTCTACTGCCTGTCCCGATTAACCCTATCCACCCATGTGTTCCTCCATCTCAACAGTGCTGGCCTGTGGGCGGCCCCAAGCAACAGCAGTGTACAAGGTGTCAGAATATGCACGGCGCTTTGGCGTTCCAGTCATTGCTGATGGAGGAATCCAAAATGTGGGCCATATTGCCAAAGCCTTGGCCCTTGGGGCCTCCACAGGTGAGGCCCAGTACCCATGAAGGCCAGTGGGACTCCCCCTGCCCCCGTGCTGCTTAAGCTCTGCCCCAGGCACGCCATCTGTCCACAGTCATGATGGGCTCTCTCCTGGCTGCCACCACTGAGGCCCCTGGTGAGTACTTCTTCTCTGATGGGATCCGGCTAAAGAAATATCGCGGTATGGGTTCTCTCGATGCCATGGACAAGCACCTCAGCAGCCAGAACAGATATTTCAGGTGGGACAAGCAGGCCTATTACCCCACCTAATCCTGCACTGTCTCATCTCTGCTGTGACCTTGCCTATGTCTCTGCCTCTCCCTGCAGTGAAGCTGACAAAATCAAAGTGGCCCAGGGGGTGTCTGGTGCTGTGCAGGACAAAGGGTCCATCCACAAATTCGTCCCTTACCTGATTGCTGGCATCCAACACTCGTGCCAGGACATTGGTGCCAAGAGCTTGACCCAAGTCCGGTGAGCTTGGGAAGCTGGGACATGGGTAGAGGGGCTGGTTCAGGGCCAGCTACCCACATTTGACTTCTGCCCCTCTTCAGAGCCATGATGTACTCTGGAGAGCTTAAGTTTGAGAAGAGAACATCCTCAGCCCAGGTGGAGGGTGGCGTCCATAGCCTCCATTCGTAAGTCACCCTGTCCCTGGTGGGGCCTCTGCCATGCCTCAGGCCTCCTTCCTCCAGCCTTCACCTCACAGGTGGTCCTTCTGCCTGCAGGTATGAGAAGCGCCTTTTCTGAAAAGGGATCCAGCACATTGCCTCAGTTTTTTTCAATAAAAGTTTAGAAAAAAAAAGGTGATGCCTGATCTTTGAGGTCAACAGACAGGTGGGGCCCTGTAGCTGTCACTACCACAGATGTACACAAACACAGCACTCTGATTTTCAGGGGGAACCGCAGGCCCTGAGATAAATGTGCTCTGTGGACCTGGAAGGGGGTAGTTCCAGGTTCAAAAAGTTCCTCCTAAGGCTGCTCACAAAACAGCTTTGACCAGCTGTGGCTCCTGGGGTTTCAAAGAACAATCCCTGGGACTGGCATTCACAGGGCATCCTATTAGGCCATAGCTTGGCTATATAGGACCAAGTCAAGACACATACATATTCCCCAACTTAAATATCTCTCGGCCAGGCATGGTGGCTCTCGACTGTAATCACTTTGGGAGGCTGAGGCAGGTGGCAACATAGTAAAACCCTATCCCTAATAAAAATACAAAAATTAGCTGGGTGTGGTGACATGTTCCTGTAGTCTAGCTACTCAGGAGGCTGAGGCAGGGGAATCACCTGAACCCGGGAGGCAGAGGTTGCAGTGAGCAGAGATCACCCCACTGCACTCCAGCGTGGCAGAGAGACAGCACCTCAAAAAAAAAAAAATTAGGTGCGGTGGTGGGGCCTGTAATCCCAGCTACACAGGAGGCGGAGGATAATCACTTGAATCTAAGAGGTGGAGGTTGCAGTGGGACAAGTTCACGCCACTGCACTCCCGCCTGGGTGACAGTGAGAAAAAAAAAAAAATCCGTGATTTTGTGAGAAAAGGCATTGAGGTCCCCTGAAATCCGCACGTGAGCAAGTAGACAGGTCTAGAACGGTAAACGTACTATCCTAAGTAATCTAGATGAAAAAGTGACCCCTTGGTTTCTTCACATTCCTCTCCAAGAGCCCAGTAAGCCAGCAGCTCCTGGCCAGCAACACACTTGATACAAAATGGGAGAAGTGTATAAATTATTATGTTGGTAAGCAAGATAAGTGCCAAAGGGGAGATAAGGGTGAAAGCATTGGGAACTGGCAGAGTGTAGTTAGCAGGTCAGTTCCTGGTGGTTCACTGAGTAGCTTGGCCCAAAGATGTGGGTAAAGTCCCTCCTGGTGGGGGGATCAGAGCAGCTCCAGTTACTCGGCCTTCATTACACAAGAAGTTGAAGGTGGCACAGGCATTGGGCTGTAAAGAAAAGGCCAGAATCAGCCTGTCTAGTGCCAGGCCTGTACTCCCCACAGCATGCCCCAGTTGCAGGACTCACCGTGTCCTGCACTTCCACAGCAATGCCCCGCTGCCTCATGGCTCGAAGCACCCGGGACTGCAGCCTCTCAGTCCGGTCTCCAGTCCCCACCACAACAATCTCTAGGGAAGGGAGGGTGAGGCTAGTCTACAATTCTGTTGAGAGGTTGGGGTGGGGATTGCCTTTTGGAGCTCAAAGCACCTCTGCCCTGCCTCCCCTCCCCCCAGTACCTATCCGGGGCTCCAGCATCCAGAAGAGGGAAAAGCTCTCTTCGGTGATGTCCTGGTGAGATCCCACCTGTACAGGGAGATGACTTATTCAGTACGACAAATCCACGCAGCGTCTCCCACCTCCATCCACTACGGGAGATAGAGGAAAGCTACGTTTACAGGGACACAAGCAGGCTGAGGACCTGTGACTCTGGACCTCAGTTTCCTCACAGCGGGCCAGGACTCACGTTCCATTGCAGCAACGAGTGCGGAAGCACAGCGCAGGGCCCGAGCACGCGGTTTCCATTGATCATGAAGCCGCGGCTGTTGTAGCTGTCGATGTACATCGTCTGAAAGCCCTCGCGTTCTAGCAGAGAGATGTGCGTCCGCTGATACAGCTCGTCATCTGCTGGCGAGAGCCGATGCCCCCGTCGCGGGGCCCTGCAGAGGGAAAGGGTCAGGGGCACACGGCCGGGCCGGGACCGGCCGCCCGAGAAGCCAGAAGGTGCGGGGTGGCAGTCGCCAGCCCTAGGGGGTGGGACGGTTAACGGTGCGGGGTCCAGCTTACCAGGGAAATTGAACAGGCAGACAGCGCAGCGAGGGTCGCGCTCGGTAAAAGCTGCGTAGCGCGAGAACGGTGGCCATGGCTGACCGACGCGCGGCGAAGTCGTCACCGGCGCCGGTTGTTACAGGGTTGGCGGGGCCCTGCGGAGGCTGACCCAGCGCGGGTGCAGCGCCCCCTGCGTCCTGGAGGGCACGGCACAGCTCGGCCGGCCCCGCAGGCGAGTGTCATCTGTCCTGGGAGGACGAGTCCCTCGACCTCCGGGGCAGCTCCAATGTCATCACCTGCCGCTCGCCCCGCCCCGGGCCCTTGCCCACAGTCCTGGGGGAGTGGAACACCTGGTAGTGTGGCCGCCCTCAGGGCGTTGCCTGGGCCGCAGTCGCGGCCTGGCCCCCGGGTTCTCAGCTATTAAGCCGCGCTCGCGAGGCGGGGCAGCCGCCCACCTAGTCGTGAACCGAACACCTGGCCAGGCGGTCAGTGCCAGACTTCAAGCCCCTAATCCTAGCCTTTGGAGCTTCAGGCACCGTGGGCGAGGCAGCCGGCTCAAATTTCTCCGGCTCGCAGCCGAAGCACGCCCCGCCCTAACCGTCACCCGCGCGACCGTTGGCCTCTCCGTTGCGCTCTAAGAGGGGCGTGGCCGAGCGTGGATTGGCTTCTCGGGTGCTCCAGGGGGCGTGGCCAGGTGGTTTCTTCTTAAAATGGCTCCAAGTCTGCGGGCAGCCAGAGCAAGCGGAAGGGCAAGCCGTGGTAGTGTTTGAGTGGCTGTCCAGCTGGGCCAGACCGGGCAGAACTGGACCAGACTTGAAGTAGAAGCGCGTGGAGCATCACCTTGTCCTCGTTCACTCTGCTCTCGTCCTGGGAGTCCCCAGTCCCCCGTCTTGAACCAAGTCAAGGGCCTACTGGCGCGAGAGTCGCTGGCGCCCGCGCGGGGATTGGGTATCTCGGCACGCTGGCTCTGTCGTGGCCTCAGGGGAACATTGTCGCGTTCGCTACTCGCGGGGCTGGGCAAGCAGGAAGCTCGGCACAGTCGGGGCCTGGTCGTGGGTCTCCTGGGGGCGGCCGCAATAGGTTTCTGGGGGTCCCGCCGCTGCTGTGTGGGCCTCTGGTGTTCTGGGCGCTGGCAGCGTCACTGGACAAAGAGCCCCGAGCGCGGGGGTGTCCCCGAGGCGGACGCGTGGGTTTACTTCCTCTCCAGCCCCACGGGCGCGCTTCCCTCCTGGCGGATTCCGAAGCCCGCCCCGCCACCGTCACCGCACCAGTGGCCCAGGCTTCGTGGGACCAACAGGGCTAACCCTGCTCTGCGGATCTAATCTGGATCGGGACCCGGTCCCAGGGGAGGCCCCCACCTCCCCTTCTGTTGTTCTGGGGCCCAGGTGAGCGTCTTGTTCCCTCTAGACTCAGTTTCACAGCCTACTGCTGGGTCTACCTCCTGGGACTAGGGATGGGCAGGTTCTGATGTAGCCCCAGGGCGAGTGACCAGGGGGCGGGAGCTCCCCCGCCCCCCGCCAACGGCTGGACAGCGGGCAACGGAATCCCAAAAGCAGCTGTTGTCTCCAGAGCATTCCAGCTGCGCTTGGATTTCGTCCCCTGCTCTCCTGCCTGAGCAGCGCCCTGGCCCAGATGGGGTACTTCTGACCCCCAGACATACTTTACTGAGCCGCTTGGGTCTCAGTTCCTCTCTCAGGTGCGCCCTCAGGCTGGAGGTGATGGTTGTAGAAGTCGGAGAGCTGAAGCTGGTGGCCATCTCTGGAACCCTGAGGAGCACTGACGAGGGAGGGTAGACCCAGGACCTCCGGGTAGGGCTGCAATGATAGTGAGTCCCCCAGGACCGCCTCAGCCCGCAGCTTGCTAAAGATAGCCCTCTACTTCCTGGGGAAAACCACCCCAACCGTCTTCGTGGATGAGAGTAAAGTCCTCAGTTTGGCTGAAGGTTTCCAACCCTGCTAAGCAGCTGTCTCCAAGTCATGCGCCTTCAGAATGGAAAGCGCTTTGGAATGACACGATCACTCCCGTTGAGTGGGCACCCGAGAAGCCATCGGGAATGTCGTGTCCGCCCAGTGCTCTTTCGGCGCCTCCCATCAGGGCATGAGCCCTGGCACAGAAAGCGGCCTTGTCAAGCTTTTCCTGCCCCCGGGGGTTTCCCTCCTTTCTGGATTTCCCAGCTCTCTTTGCTGGGTTAGCTTCGATCTTTATTAAAAGGAAGAGGTGGCCAGGCGCGGTGGCTCAAGCCTGTAATCCCAGCACTTTGGGAGGCCGAGGCGGGTGGATCACGAGGTCAAGAGATCGAGACCATCCTGGTCAACATGGTGAAACCCCGTCTCTACTAAAAATACAAAAAACATTAGCTGGGCATGGTGGCGCCTGCCTGTAATCCCAGCTACTCAGGAGGCTGAGGCAGGAGAATTGCCTGAACCCAGGAGGCGGAGGTTGCGGTGAGCCGAGATCGCGCCATTGCACTCCAGCCTTGGTAACAAGAGTGAAAGAAACTCTGTCTCAAAAAAAAAAGGAAGGGGTGGTGGTGAGTATGTTACATTGAAATGAAAACATTTGGGAACCTTTGCGGGAGCGGCGGGAGGAGAAAAAGAGCTCTCCCACTGGTAGAGGAGCAGGATGCTCCAACTAAGGTCTATTTCTCTGCTTCTTATGGTCGCATTATTTGGTTGGCCTATAATGGCTGTTGCCTAAAACAGGAAGCGTAAGGATCGTTGTTAAAGTACAGCAGGTTAAAGGAGTCACATTAAAAGCTGTTCACTCTGGAAGCCGTCATGATAGTTTTAATTCCTCAGGTATCAAGAGAAGAAAACCGGAAATTATATCAGAGTGCGCACTTCCTGGGAATAAAGACCACCCGGGCCAAGCGCGGTGGTTCACGCCTGTAATCCCAGCGCTTTGGGAGGCGGAGGCGGGCGGATCACAAGGTCAGGAGTTCGAGACCATCCTGGCCAACATGGTGAAACCCCATCGCTATTGAAAAAAAAAAAATGCAAAAAATTAGCTGGGCATGATGGCAGGCACCTGTAGTCCCAGCTACTCGGGAAGCTGAGGCAAGAGAATCGCTTGAACCCGGGAGGCGGAGGTTCCAGTGAGCCGAGACTGCACCACTGCACTCCAGCCTGAGAAATAGAGCGGGACTCCGTCTCAAAACAAAAAAAAACCAAAAAAAAACCCCACCCATATCTCAAACGAGAAAATGCTTGCAAATAACCTGAACATTATTCTTTTTAAAACAAGATGTTTTAAATAGGTCATGAAAGTGGCCTTAATGTTATACTGCCTTATTCCAGTGACAAGTATTCATCATGTGTAAAATGGGAGAAATATCGACACAAAGATGTGAGACTTCAATGAGAAGAGACGGTACCCTGTCTGAGCCCCAACCGGGTCGCGAGTTAAGGCCTGGTCTTCTCCCTGGTTAAGGCCTGGTCACAACGAAAGAACCTTAGGCTCGGGGAGGACCCTGAAGTTTCAGATCCGTGGCCCGGCTGTGCAGGTGGACCACGCGGAAGGCGCGGTAGGCCGAAAGCAGCCAACACTGCTCCCTCTTGCGCACCTGTCCGCTTACGGGGACCGCCGCCTAATTCTCGCCCCAGCCAGTCGGTCCTTTCCGGAAGTTCCACCTCCCTAAATTTTTTTTCCGGTTCCGTTCACTCCTTCCGGTCACCATGGCGACCGGGCGCCTTAGTGTCGGGGAGACGTTGGGAGCCCTCAACGCGGCCCTGGGGCCAGGAGGTCCGGTGTGGATCAAGGAGACGCGCACCCGCCACCTGCGTTCCCGAGACTTCCTGGCGCCGCACCGCGCGCTGCAAGTGCGCTTCAATGACGGGCAGGTGGGCACGAGCCGGGCCGTACGGCTGGGAGCTCAGCCCCATGCCGTGGCCCGCTGACACCCCTGTTCTCCTACAGGTTCCCGAGCATGTGCTCCATGCCCTCGCCTGCCTGCAGGGCCCCGGTGTGGCCCCGGTGCTGCGCTGCGCGCCGACCCCAGTGGGTCTGTCGCTCCAACTGCAGCGTCCCGCCGTCTTCGAGCGCGTCCTCAGCGCCGTGGCTGCTTATACCTCGCCCGCCTCACCCGCCTCACCCGGCCAGCGCGTCTTGCTACACTGCCCAGCACTGCGCAGCTCCCATTGCGCACTCCGCTTGAGCCAGCTGCGTACGGTGCTCGTGGCCGATCACCTGGCACGAGCTCTGCGCGCTCACGGGTGAGCGGGGCCGCGGGGCCGGAATGGAGGAGGGACTACTGGAGACCTATAGAGCGATCGGCGCCGCCCTTGGGGACTGCGCCTGGAGGTGGGAAGTCATGGCGAGCTGGACCAGGTGCGCAATCTGAAGCGGCCGCCCTCCCTTTGCAGGGTATGCGTGCGCCTAGTGCCAGCTGTGCGGGATCCGCACATGCTGACCTTCCTGCAGCAACTGCGGGTGGACTGGCCCGCTGCCTCGGAGAGAGCTTCCTCCCATACTCTGAGGAGTCACGCACTTGCAGAACTTACCTCTTCTTATGACGGGAGGGCACTGTCCCCTGGCATCTTAGGCAGACTGTGTCTGAAGGAGCTGATGGAAGAACAGGGCTGCACAGCTGGCTATGACCCCAACCTGGACAACTGTCTGGGTAGGACCTGAAGCCTGGCAGGGCCAGAAAAGGCAGGAGAGGGTGGGGGGACATCTCCGATTCTTGCCAGCCTCAGCACCTGTCTGTTCTCTTTGCAGTGACTGAGGATCTCCTCTCTGCACTGGCTGAGCTGCAGGAGGCTCTATGGCATTGGCCTGAGGACAGCCACCCAGGCCTGGTTAGTGACTCCCAGTTCTGTAGGTTCTGGCAAACCAAGTATATACTGTACTTCCACAGTGATGACTGTCCTCCCTTAGGCTGGGGTCCCAGATACTGGTACAGACAGTTGCCTGGTTATACACGTGGTTAGCTGTGAAGAGGAGTTCCAGCAACAGAAGTTGGACCTGCTTTGGTGGAAGTTGGTTGACAAGGCTCCACTCAGACAGGTAGGTTAATGATGGTGGAGCTCCCCACCACCTCACCCCCAACCTCAGAGGGCCCTTCAAAACCCACCACGGGGCATGTTAGCTGACAGGTCCAAAAACCAACACTTGACCTTGGGGGAGTTGCTGGACTTGAGAGGGCATGTGAAGCAGGTGCAGAGGCTCCGGGGAATGGGGGCTCTGTAGACACATCTCAAGAACATTGAAGACTAGGTTGAGGAGGCTGGACTGTGTGTGGCCTGAGGGACTGGGTAGGAGCCACTCAACCTGGCAGTTCCAAGTTGAGGGAGTCTGGATTGAGTGGAGGCACCAGATTCAGGCCCCTCCAGGGACTACTGCTGAGAGTAGTGCCAGCTGGGCTGAGCCCTGCCATCTTCCTGACAGAAGCACCTGGTCTGTGGCCCAGTGAAAGTAGCTGGTGCACCTGGCACTCTGATGACTGCCCCTGAGTACTACGAGTGAGTGAGGCTGGGACAACCTAAGCCAGGGTAGTGTGGGGGTACTCTTTGCTGGGACCCTGCCTACCGGCCCTCCTCTCTCTTCCAAACACAGGTTCCGGCATGCCCAGGTGTGCAAGGCCTCAGCACTGAAGCATGGTGGGGATCTGGCACAAGGTGTGCCTGGGAAACCCTGGCTATGTTCTGGGTTAGGGGTAGGTTGTTTGCATCCCTGCCCTTGCCTGCAGACTGACTGAACAACCCTACACTCCCTCAGACCCAGCCTGGACAGAGATCTTCAGTGTTCTCTCTGTGGCCACCATCAAGTTTGAGATGCTGGGCACAGCCCCACAGAGTCAGGTGAGACAGGGCCAGGGTTGGGCGACAGGTTATGGTGGCTACCTTGTCTCTGTAGCTGTGCTCCTATTCCCCAGATCCTCCTGGCTCTGGCTGACAGCAACATCTCCACGAAGGGTACAAAGAGTGGCACCTTTGTCATGTATAATTGTGCCCGTCTTGCCACACTCTTTGAGAGTTACAAGTGCAGTATGGAACAAGGTCTGTACCCCACTTTTCCTCCTGTGAGCAGTCTGGACTTCTCACTGCTACATGATGAGGTGAGTGTCCCTCCTGGTAGCTGGCACAAGGAGGTCTGGACTTTCCCTCCCAGCACCTTTCTTCCCCACAGGGTGAGTGGTTGTTGCTCTTCAACAGTATCCTACCCTTTCCGGATCTGCTGAGCCAGACAGCAGTGCTGGACTGCACAGCCCCAGGGCTCCACATCGCTGCACGCACAGAGATGGTGAGGCACAGACAACCAGGATAGACACTGCACACTCTATTCTTTATTAAGGTCTGGGGCACAAGAGCAAAGAGATGGTCCAGTGACTCAGTCTCTATCTCTAGATGTGCAAGTTCCTGGTACAGCTCAGCATGGATTTCAGCTCCTACTACAACCGGGTACACATCCTAGGGGTGAGCACACAGCAACTAATGGGGTGGGAAGTGCAGAGGGGTATAGGGTAAATGCAAACGAAGCAGAGGCTGAGACCAGCAGGCCCCTTCTCCTTCAGGAGCCTCGACCACACCTCTTTGGTCAGATGTTCGTCCGCCTGCAGCTTCTGAGGGCTGTGCGTGAGGTGCTCCACACTGGCCTGGCTATACTGGGTCTCCCTCCACTGAGCCATATCTAAGGCCACAGAGGCTTCAATATTTGGGAGTGTTCACAAAGTCATCAACTGGAAAAAAAGCAAAAACCCACAGCCAAAATAAATTGCTATTGTTACAAAGTTCTGTCTTGTCATGGGGAGTGGGGCATATTCTTGGCAGCACTCCACTCACCTTCAGCTCTTGCACCGATGTCAGGAACCCACGGCCACCACCTCCTCCCCTCAAGGCATGCTGAGCATGGGCACAGACAGCCCATCCCTGCTCCACACTGTCTGTGAGCAGACCCCATACCCAGCACACCGGCCACCTTGGGATACCTCAATCATACCAGTTATAAACCTCAAGCCCCTGACCTCCAAGGGCACAGCGGTGGCCAAACTCAGGGCTCACAGGCCAGCAGTCCATGTCAGCCACATCTGGCACATGGTACACAGTGCTGTTCATGAAGGTGGGTTCACCATGCCCCAAACGCCAGAAGGTCAGCCGTTGATCAATGGAAGCTGAGACCATAAGGCTTGGGCTTAGGATCTTGAGGCCTGTCACATGGGCAGCATGTGCACAGGGGACAGAGTACTCCTCTATGACACGCAGCTGGGGTACCAGCCCAGCCTCTCCCACAGCCTCTTCTGGCTCTGGCATCTCCACAGCAAGCACGAATACATGGAGGGATCCATCTTCACTGCCACTGGCCACAAGATGGTGGCCCTCACGGGTGGGCAAGGTGTGCAGGCTATTGATACCACAACTGTGGGCCTGGAGAGTCAGGGAGGGGGTGCAAAGCCCTGGAGGAAAAGGGTAGTTGTCAGGGCCCTGCCTGCCACTTGTCTGAGGGGTATATGACAGGTGGGGAGGGATAGCCACGGTTGCACATTAGCTACTCACGGAAGGGAAGCCCAGGATCCACTGGGGCCTCCAGGACAGGAGAGCCATGGTCTAGCATGGTGGTGAGATCCCAGAAGGCCAGGTTGCCATCAGTAGCTGCGCTGCACAGAAGCATCCTCCTGGAAGCCAGGAAAACACAGCGCGGTCAATGACAGAGATGAAGCGCAACGGGAACCCCCACCCAGCCCATGCAGGACCATCATCCAATCCCTCTTACCGCCTCTGGTTGGGTGCCTCGTGTGTAAAGGAGTGGACTTTGAGGACACATCGCTTATGGTGGAAGGTTTCAGCAAGGAGCTGCAGGATCCTCCCGGAATCCCGCAAGAGAAAGAGCCTGGGGGGTGGGGGGTGGCCCAGCTCAGAACGCATCCTAGACAACCTTACTTCCTTTGTCTCCCGCCCCACTGGGCCCTATGCTCTCACCTTACGGCCCCATCACTACAGGCTGCAGCCACAAGGGGGCCAAGGCCAGGCTGTTCAAGTTCACACACAGCAAGGGACATATACCTGCAGAGACAACATGCAGCTGTCAGGTGGAGCCTGCAAGCCTGGGAACATCTGCGTGATCCCACACCACACCCTGCCGAGGAATATGGTATTACCTGGTCTCCGGGTCTACCTTGACCATCCGATGCCGATTGCGCTGCCGGTCCCAATACTCATCTAGCCGGTGGGACGAAAGGTGCATGACATGGCAGGCGAGGCGGCTTGGGGTGCTGGGGTCCGGAGTAACCATGATGCTGAAGCAATGCATCTCAGCCCGCCCCCCGGCAGACACCACATGGGCAGTCAGGCCCGGCTGAGGATCCTTAGGGCCACCTGGGGTGCCAATGCCCCACACAGCCACAGCGCGCACCGAGGAGATATGGTTACAAACAGCTGTGAGTGCGTGGGCTGAGCCTGTGGTTGTAGGGAGTGCCAGGACACAGACAGTAGTGTCCTCACTACAGGTGATCACAATGTCAGTCAAGTTGGGCCCCTCACTGCCAGGCTCCAGGTCGTCAGGCTCCACAAAGCTGGGCACTCCATATTCAGTCCCCAGGGTGATGGTGCCCACACGCTTTACACAAGTGATCTCACGGCCATGCAGCCCCTCCCGGAGAATCACGTGTGGCCGGGTGCAGCCACCCAGAGCCCTGTACAGCATGACATCCCCATCCTTGAGGTAGGCAAAGGCCATAGCCGCCTCAGTATCAGAGAAGGCCCATGAGCGGTGCCCTCCACCACAGTTGACGATGTGCAGCTTCTCGTGTGACCGGGGGCTCCACACCACAAACTCATTGGCATGGAAACCCAGGATGACCATGCTCCCATCAGGCACTATACGGAGCCCAGCTAGCCAGTTCATGCCTCGACAAGACTTCTGCCTTAGGACTGGCTGGAGCTGGTAGTAGGCACCATCGCGCCCGGTGGTATACACATAGCCACGATGGCATGTGACTGAGGTCACACCCTGCTTCCCATGCAGAGAGGGCAGGGTGGACACTGGGCCCAACCCAGTGAAAGCATTCCCACTGCTATTACTGCCACTACCCACTCCGGGTACCCCAGCAACAGCCCCAGCCTTGCCTCCCATCCCAGGGTCCTTGAGCAGACCTGGTCTGGAGGGGAACAGCAGCACAGAGCCCCGGCGGTCACCACACACCAGGAAGTCACCTGGGGGCAGGAAGGCGCTGCATGTGTGCCATCTCTGCTTGCTTGGGGGCAGCAGGTACCGACAACGTTCCTTGACAACAATGGCCTTGCCAGAGGGTGCGGCTGAGATCTCTAGGCAAGCCACTACCCCGCCAGGGCCTGATGCCAGCAACAGGAGCTCCTCATAACCACGCAGGGCCCAGCTCAGGCTGTGCACCTTCCCAGGAAACAGGGTTTGGTCCACAGCAGCAGTTGGAGTGTTGATGGGGACAACCTTGATACCACCTTCTCCATTGGCCATGGCACACAATCCAAAGCCCTCAGGACCAGGAGCTGCCTCCAGCAGGCAGTAGGACTGGAAATGTTTATCCTCTAGCAGTTGCTCCCAGCACTTGACCTCGAGGTCATAAAGATACAGGGCCCCTGTATCAGTCACTGCCAGTAGTCGCCAAGAGCCAGCCAGCGTCACGGCCTTGAGGGTACCTGGCCTACTACGGGACTTGAAGCAGAGAGCCGAGACCCCCAATCCCCTGTACCCACGCCCTACCAAGTGCCACAGCCGAATGCCTGAGTCATCACCCCCAGTAATCACCCAGGCCTGCCTCTCATGGGCAGCTATGGCCCGGATCCCACGTCCCTGGTGTCCTCGAAAGGCCTGGAGGATTTCACCTTCGTGGCTCCACACCAAGCAGACACAGTCCTCTCCTGCACTGATAAGGTAATTCTCTAGGAGCTTGACCTGCCATACACGGGCGCTGTGCCCAAAGCAGTGCCCAATATTTTGCACCCGACCGCCAGGCACTCGCAGGTCGCCCACCTTCCAGATACGAACGCTTCGGTCTTCTGAAGCTGTAGCCAGCAAACCCTTGCTTTCCAGGTATGACATGCTGAAGATGATGCCCACATGCCCACTGACTCGTCGGTCAGGTGCCACAGGTTTATTGTCTGTTAAGGCAGTTGCTGGGTACCAGACCAAGAGCTGGTTGGAAACAGCACCTGCCACAATGGTCAGTTCCTTCCACGTGTCTCCAATCAGGCAGGCTGAGGAGAGGGTGCATCTGTCTGTGCAGGGCACCTCTTGCAGGATGCACCCTACTACAGGGTCATATAGCACCACTGAGTTGTGGCCCAGGGCCAAGGCCATATTTCCCTCAAGCCAGCGTGCATCCCAAATCCAGTCAGACATGTTCCACAGGCCAGAGCGCCAAAGCTCCCGGAATTGGCCCTGTCCCCAGCTAATTTTCACAACTCGGAGTCCCTTGCTTCCAAACACAGCCACCATAGCCTCCGAGTCAAGGTCTCCATTAGGCTCTGGCCGCACCCGGAAGCCGTGGATAAGATAGTGGCCAAGTAGGTTCTGCACTCGCTTTATCATCTGTAGATGTCCACCGAAGTCCAAGCTGTACACCAGGACATCAGGCCCCTCACCTAGAGAGAGGCAAAGAGCCATATCAGAGCTATGTACCTAACTCTGATGGCCCATGGGGAAGAGATGGGGATCAGGGAAACTTCTCAGCATGTAGCCTATGAATACACCAGGACACACAGTCCTGCAGCTTGAAACTTAGAAAATCCCTGGTCTCAGCCGGGCATAGTGGCTCATGCCTGTAATCCTAGCACTGTGAGAGGCCAAGGTGCATGAATCACCTGATGTCAAGAGTTCGGGACCAGCCTGACCAACATGGTGAAACCCCATCTCTACTAAAAATAAAAAAGTTAGCTGGACATAGTGGCAGGCATCTGTATTCCCAGCTACTTGGGAGGCTGAGGCAGGAGAATCGCTTGAACCCAGGAGACGGAGTTTGCAGTAAGCCAAAATCGCACCACTTCACTCCAGCCTGGGCGAAAGAGTAAATCTCCGTCTCAAAAAAAAAAAAAGAAAATCCTTGGTCTCAGCTTCAGCTGGACTTTCAGCTGACTTTGTGCTTCCCTCATCAGTCACATTTGATGTTCAGTTTGACCACAAATTTCTCAAACTCAGAGCCGCCTCCTTACTTCATTATTATTATTTTTTTTTCAATTAAAAAAAACAGAGGCCAGGCATGGTGGCTCATGCCTGTAATCCCAGCACTTTGGGAGGTCAAGGCGGGTGGATCACAAGGTCAAGAGATTGAAACCATCCTAACATGGTGAAACCCTGTCTCTACTAAAAATACAAAAAATTAGCCAGGCACACGCCTGTAGTCCCAGGTATTTGGGAGTCTGAGGCAGGAGAATCACTTGAACCGGGGAGGCAGCGGTTGCAGTGAGCTGAGATGGCGCCACTGCACTCCAGCCTGGGCAACAGAGCGAGACTCCGTCACAAAAAAAAAAAAAAAAATAGAGACAGGGCGCAGCATGGTGGCTCACACCTGCGATCCAAGCACTTTGGAAGGCAGGAAGATTGTTTGAGCCCAGGAGTTGGAGACCAGCCTGGGCAACATGCCAAAACTCCATTTCTACAAAAATTAACCGGGCATGATGGTGCATGCCAGTAGTCTCAGCGGAGGCTCAGGTGAGAGAATCACTTGAGCCCAACAGGTGGAGGTTACAGTGAGCTGAGATTACAC